CGACAATGTCGGAGCAAGCTCTTTTGCTCCGAAAGTCTTGTAGACGTCTTGTAGTAAGCACTGACTCTACTATTAAATGTGGGTCTCTCGAGGGAGCCCTAGAAGTAAGGATAACTTCTTTACTAAATTTGGAAGTACGCCGCCACAATAACGTGCGTACTATTGCTTTGTGCCCGTGGGTCACAAAGTAAATGCCTCGTAGGGGTTTGACGAGGAAGGTTGCCTCGACGAGTGACCGCCTAGAAGTTTGACGAGGAAGATTGCCTCGGATTTGCAGATCTCAATAGAGTCTGAATTATATAGGTCTCGTAGGAGCCTATGTGTGTACTTTGTACCGAGGTGCGGGTCTCTCGATGGAGCCGGCACAGTCGGAATCAAAGTCTTCGTCGGAGGGTCGCAAGCCTCGGACGGTATGCAGGTCTCTGGAGGAGCCTGAAAGTATCGCTGTTTCGTCGCAGGGGGCGATCGAACAGGATCTTCGCCTCAGGTTGGGCTACCTCGGGCAGTACGCAGGTCTCTGGAGGAGCCTGGGGTATCGCCGTGTCGATGCAGGAGGCTATCGCACAGGATCTTCGTCGGAGATGGTCAGTCTCGGACGGTACGCAGGTCTCAAAAAGGATCCTGGAATTTACCGCTATTTCGATGCAGGGGGCTATCGAACAGGGTCTTCACCTCAGGCTAGGCTACCTCGGGTGGTATGTCTCGTGATGCGAGTAGTGGTCACTAAAGCGACCCACACACTTTCGGGCTTTGTGACAGTTATAACCGAACGTGATTACCCGGCTGGTTTCCCGAATCCCGCTAGGACACACGCACTCGTTTTCTCTCCGAACTGTTTTAACTGTTCCGTTTTAGCAGTAAAATGGCGTCCAAGCGTATTTTGCGTTTACTTGGAATCACGGTAGTACTTTTAAAAAAGAAATCCTTTTAAATCCCTTTAAATCCCGGTTTGAGTACTCCTTTTTATTTTCCAAAGACACGGTTAGAAACGATATATCTCCAAAAATTCCAATACAAAATCCTTAGATAGTTGGCGAGTATCTATATCAAAAAATATGTAGTAGTACAGCTTTAAGGTTACGTTAGGCCGGTTAATCACGGCGTCCGGTCCCGACGAATTTCAACTGGCGCCTGATGTTATTCGGGATTACCCGTTCAGGACAATTTTATTCGGGATTGCACATACACTTCCATGTTTACCCGTACGGTGTAATCAAGTTCGGATATAACTGTCACGAAGCCCGAAAGTGTGTGGGGCGCTTAAGCACTATTAATGGCCACGTCAAGAAATGGCAGCCTTGACGGGAGCCTCGTGAAGCGAGCCTGTGAGCTGTAAGCTCCAAAAGTTCTTGAGTTTGATGACAGGGTTTTTTCAATCAAACCGTGGAAGATATGTTAAAAGCTTTATTGAATAGTCAAAACGGACAATAAATGCTATAACTTAACATATACAAGTTATTTACCATAGAATAATACTTGTTACAATGTCGTGCTTTATGTCGTTCTTAGTACTATGCATTCCCACGTACTGTAGATGTCGGAAGTAGACGTTCGATCGCTTTCCTCTAAAATCTCCAGCAAAAAGCGTCTTTCGTCGCCGGCGCCGTCGGATCTCATTTCCCTCTGGCCTCTTCGGATAGTTGATGTCGGTATCGGGGATTTTGGAGTTTTTTCCCATTTTGAAAATAATCTACCTGTGGTCTCGGCTTAAGGCTACCGAGCATCGCATCCGACCGCCAGAGCGGTGGGACCCTCGAAAGACGGTCCTTTCGGCCCAAAGACGGGGAAATTGGAAACATCAGTGAAATTTTCCCAGTCTTCGTAAAAGGGCTTACGGAGGTCTTAATACTGGATGGATCTCGCTTTCCAGCTGGCACTTTTGTGCACGCAAACAAGCATTTGGGTACGCAAAAGCTTGAAACGCATGTTCCAGCTCCTATTATTTATCTGCGTTTGATGCGCATGATTGTGATTTCCCCTATCCCCTGAAGCATCTACCTTTTATTTTGTGTTTGAAGCACAGTCTCAAATTTTATCCATAATCTATGATTTCTTAGGTTAAGTAGTTAATGTTAATGTGTAATAGTGTAATCTAGGGATGGGCAGATTTAATGAAAAACATCGATGTTATGTTATATCGATTATAAAATAATTTATTATCGATGCTCGATATATCGGAGTAAAACATCGATTTTTTTCGAATATCGAAACAAAAATTAACCCTAGGGACTAGTATAAAATTTTTTTATTAAGGGTGTTTAAAAAATATAAAAATAAATATTCAAAAAAATTTATAATACATTTAAAAAATGTAAAAATAAGTTTTTTTTTAAATAAACTTTAAATTCACAAAATATGTTCAAAATTATCCAAGTAAAATTCAAGTCAGGGTTTTTGAATGAAGTTTTAATATTTGCAAAGTTAATACAATTTTTCTTATAAAAAATGCCTATGATTTTCTGATTTTTTGTCATACAATTTAGCTTTTGCATTTAAAAATAGAAAGTAATTTTGTTGTCTTGAATTTTGATAGGTATCTTTTGAGATCAATAAAAAAAATATTAGAATATTATACAACACAAATGCAACTTTAACATAAATTCATGTAATGCCAGTCTTCGTAGTCTAACGAACTTAAAAATAATAATTTATTAAGTCTTTCAGGAGTTAATCTGCTTCTTTGGTCTGTCAAGATATTTCCAGTTTCTGAAAAGAGACGTTCTGAAGGAACACTTGTTGCTGTTATTTGCAAAAATTTTCTTGCTAAGAAATAAAGTTTGGGATACACCATTTTATATTTTTCCCACACAACAAACGGATCTTCATGCAAATTATTGACAGGAGCATTCAAATATTGACTAATTTCAGCACTTATAATTAGATTTTGGTCTTCATGACTACTATCGTGGATACCCCGATTGTTAAAACTTTCCGCAAGTTTTTTATGATGATCCCATAAACTTTGAGAATTTTCATCTGCTGTGAAGCTACTACTAGAATTTGATAATGACGGTTGTATAGCCTCAGACTTTGTTAAAAAGAATTTTGTTTCCTTTATTTCACCATTTCACAAAAATTTACTTAGAATATCTTAAACACAGACAATATAAACAATAAAACAATAGAAATAGTTCTGGGAAAAGATTAACAATACTAAACCATTTTATTAATTTTGAAATATTTCTTGAAAAATGTCATTTCTTCTATTGATACCCGTTTCATGACCCAGTGTAATTGTTTCTGTGTAATTAATATTACAGTGTAAATCAGTATCCCCATTATGTACAATTTCAGTGCGGTCTTTGTGCATTATGCATATATTATGTAGAATGCAACAGGACATTATTATTTTGACACTAGTCCGAATATCCAAGTTGGCTATATGGTTTAGTCTTCTAAATCGGCCTTTTAACAAGCCAAAAGCATGTTCTATTATCATTCTTGTTGATGATAATTTNACTTAAAGTCATTACAGGCTGTGGAAAACATAGCCCTCCGCACGGCCACCGACGCGCCCTGGTACGTAAGAAACACTGACATATTACGAGACTTACAATACACAAACTCTACACAGACAACAAGACAAAACGCGGAGAAACGGTTTGACTTTGCCGCTAGACATGACAATCCCCTCCTCAAGCAAACCGTTGACTACGTGACTGACAAACACAAAAGACCTAGACACCAACTTTTTGACCCTGGGTGACCACCCCAACGACACCTCCCCCTGCCCGCTAACCTTTTCTGTTTCAGAGACAGCCAGGATCAAGAAACGAAGACAACTATACACACACACACCCCCATACCCTCCTTACCCCTCCCCTCCCGCGCTAGCCTAAGGGCCACCTTAGCAAAGCGCATCCCAGGCTGCATAGCCGCACTGCCCTACCCAACCATACCACACATAAACATGACACCACCCCCGGGGTTTACACAGACGAGCCGGCGAAGCAAGAAGAGCGCCAGAAGAAAGGGCCCTAGCCGGCGGGGCCCAGCCAGGACAAAAGGAGGTCCCACAAAGCGCCTACACCGGCCGCATTTGCGGTCGGGGTAGACGACGGATGGGGCCCACCTACGAAGGCTGTCCAGGCCTACATGAGATGAGGCAGGATAAAGAGGGATAATCCCCCTCGATCCCAAATCATTGAGGCCAATTTCTAGCCATGGAATAATGGCGCACTTTCCGATGATGTACCTTTCGAAGTTGTTTTCCAGAATATTCATTTTACTAAATTTTTGAAAAAAGTTGCATAAACCGCAGAAACAGAAGTTTGGAATTGGGTAAGTTAGGTTAGGTCGAAATGTTTGATAAAAGTTCGCAAGCATATCAAGTAAACGCCAACAAATTAGAAACCAATACAAACGGCTGCTGGAACAACAAACACTTGCAAAATGTTACCAACTTTCCCTTGCTGGAACATCAAAGTATTACTACGCAGTACGCATCCATCGTTTTGTTTGCAACATTTCTGACACCCTGCTGGAACAAACCAACAAACCTAGTGTCGTCTATTGCATGTCACTAGTGATGGGCATAATCGACCAATTTTGAAAATCGAGTACTTCTAATAATCGAGATATTGGTCGTTTTCATCCCAGCGGCGCAGAAATTTTGTATTAGTCATATATTACTTATAAGCGTAGCTAAAAAAAAAAAAGCTCACGCACTTCAAAACCTAACCACTTTTTCGTTTTATTCTATAAAAAAGGTTACGCATTCAGTGACTATTTGCAGTCTGCACTAACATTTTGGGGTGCAACCGTAGGGTAATAATCACTCGAGTGGTGGGAGTAAACATCTCGAGAAATCTCGAGTGATCTCAATAATCGAGTAACACTCGATTTTTCACTCGAAATCTCCCATCACTACATGTCACATCGCATGTTTTGGTTCGGTCTGTTTGACTCTGTTTATGTTACTGTGATTGTAGTGTTTCTGATATTTATGTCTTAGTTTTTAACAGTTTTAATCACATTTTATGTAAAGAAACGTATTTTCTTTTTTCAATGACTGTCATTTTATAATAGTTATATAGAATCTGTAAACATCTCATCATGGAGGTTACAACTAAGTTTGTAGCAATACCTACGTTTGTAAATCCTCACTTATTTTGGATAATAGAACCCAATAGTGATAAAAGAAATGAAACCTTAAACCGTATTAATAAACTTTTGCAAGATGAATGTACAAAACGTGAACCAACATTAAATGATTCTTCTGAAATTGGAGAAGTAAGTAAATTACTAATAGGTACTGATTATTTTACTTAATAGTTATAATTGCTTCAGATAGTTGCAGTTTCTTTGGATGGCAAGTTATATAGAGCTGTCATAGAATATATACCTAATTCAGAAACCCAAGAAAAAAATAATTTAGATTTTTTATGCTGGTTAATAGACTATGGAATTATGTGCAGAACAGATGTAATTTACAAATTGCCAGGCCCTCTAAGGAAAGTGGCTCCATTAGCTTTGCAAGCTTCTTTAAATAATGTGGCATATGTAAAACAGGTAAATTTATTTCTAATAGGTAATTAAATTATTTAGATGTATATTATTTTACATTTAACTGTCTTTTTTTTGCCAAATTATTTGACATATGTCAAAACTGTGATATAAAACTTAATATGTTTAACATTTTGATAACTAAAAACTTAAATAGGTCAAAATTGTGTTTTATCTATTGAACTTGTGCATCTCACAGGATCACAGGATTGAACTTTTAAGACAGTTTTTCTAGGGTTTATGTAAAATTAGAAAAAAATGAAATTTGTCTATAAAATCCATTCAGAATTTACGGTCATAAATTCTTTATTTAAAACAATATCTCCTGTCTTATTGTGTCCCAGGTATATCATGAATTCAATGAAGTTAATGTTTAAATATTTCTTTTTTAGAATTTAACTTTTGATTATAAATCGGGTATGGCTATGAAAACTAACGAGCGTGTCTTACCACATTCATCTGTGGCTCATCAAGTTTCATTAGAATTGATGTTGAATTTAAGTGATCTACAATTTAAAGTTGAAAATAAAGTCGATGGTATTTTTGTTGGTGACATTTTATACAGAGAAAATCAGGAATTAAAGTCATTACGTCAAGCTTTAATTGATAAGGGGATTCTCATAATCGAAGAAACAGTATTTAAAGGTAAATTTGCTGCTATATTTAACTATACATTTGAGTACTATTACAGGTGGCACAGCTTGAAAAAAAGCTGCGATCTGTTGTGGCAAAAAGATTGTTTTAGGATCCATTGATTAAACTTAGAACTTAAAATTAGGTGCTTAAAATAAGAAAAATTTAAACAAATATGTAGACTGGTTTTGAAATATTGAATGTTAGTATTTGACAAAAAAATCATATTTTATGGTTTCCAACAGCTTCTTAAATAGAGTGATCAATTTTGAAATAATACTTCATAAAATAGATAACGATATCTCTAGAAAATATTTCTAAATATTTCGAGTTACTACTTTTTCAACAAATAATTGAACAAATCTAAATTAACTAAAACACTCATTTCACAAAAAAGTGCATGGGAAAGATTAAAAAAATTAAGTCCTTTATGATATTTGTTGAGATAGATTTTTTTTTCTTATTTTGATAACTGAATTTAGATTTTAAATTTGGTCAATTAATTCTAAAATATCCTATACAGGGTCACTTAAAGAATGTTATGTACTTCAAGGGCATAATCTAGAACCCAAAAGGTGTCAATTTAACCAAACTTCTTGTTTTCTCCTTAACTCAGTACCCAGTTAACATATTTGCGCAAAAATTGCTGTTGCTTAGTACAAGAGAACAAATTCTAGAAAGAGTGATAGGTATATATTTTTGGATTATACCCTTGAAGTATGTAACATTCGTTAGGTGACACTCTGTATATTTGTAATTTTATAAAAAAATGTTGTTTGATGTCAAGTACCTTGTTTAATGTTGCAGAAATTATGGATAATATATATAGTTATAAAGAAGCTCATCTGTGGCTGCTAGCTCAGATATGTAAAAAATTAAATTCTGTTCAATTTTTGAAGGGCACAGAAAGCACACCTTGGTTTGAAAAAATGATTTCCAAATATTTGTTGGAATTTAAAAACAATGATTTATTTGACGATGATGTAAGTATATATTTTATTTAACCCTACAACAGTATTGTACGTTAAATTTACGTATACTGTCCGATTTTTAAGAAGTTCTCATAAGTCACAGAAGTCTCGTCCCCGACTAGTCAGCAGTGCTTTTATTGGCCCTTGACGATTAACACAACTAAACATTTAGTACGTATTTGAGGGTGTAGAAGATAAGACGTGTAATTAAGTGCGAGCTACCACGCTGATTTTACGCATCGATACCATTTATAGAAAAATTAAATTGGGCTTATTTAACGTGTAATTACTGTTACCGCGTGATTATTGTTTTCGATCATTTAAGAAAATGGCACAAAAGGGATTAAGTGACAAAGAACTAGAACGTTTATTATACGAAAGTAGTGATAGTGAGTTGGATGATAATTTAGATGTAAATTCAAATAGCGACAGTGACGAATCTACGGACTCATTGAATGATCCAACATAGACACTAGAAGATGTCGAAGAGACTCAACCACATAAAATTTGATTTATACATAGTGTTGGTATTAGACAGGCAGTAACCTAGATCTATTTTTTAGGATAATGAAGAAGAATACATTATCGTCCCTCCTGGACAGATATTGACAGGAAAAAATGGATGTGAGTGGAAGTCTAGTGTTCTCCAAAAGAAGGGTAAAACTCCGGCGAGACAGCTGGTGCATATACGTCCTGGACCTACAGGACCATACCGGAATATTTTAATTCCATTGCACGCTTTTCAAATTTTTTTTCCCGACTCTATTGGCTAAAATAGTATCCTACACAAACCTAGAAATAAATAGAGCACAAACCAAATACAAAGTAATAAATAAAACTGTTTCCGAAACTAATATAGATGAGCTAAAAGCTTTATTATTTGGATTGTACATTCTCGCTGCTGTTTTTTAAAAGGTAAGCACCTTTCCACTGGTATTATGTTTGACACATCATTTTGTGGTTCTCGATATAGAGCTACAATGAGCCAAAAGCGTTTTGATTTTCTTATGCTTGCTTACGTTTTAATGACTAGGCTACAAGGGCAGAAAGAAGGGAAATAACTACATTTGTGTCTATCTTGGAAATTTGGGAGAATTTTATTCAAATCTGCAGAAATGCTTACAAACCTTCGTCTTATGTCACCATAGACGAGCAGCTAATAGGATTTAGAGGTCGGTGTCCATTCAGAATGTACATCCCAAATAAACCGGTAAAATACGGAATAAAGACCGTTTTACTTTGCGATGTTTCTACAAAATATCTGATTGATGCTTATCCCTACTTAGGCAAGTCCACTAAAACTGATGGACGTCCTTTGGCAGATTATTATGTTGAAACTCTAACAAGAACCATCCACGGCACAAATCGTAACATTACCATGGACAATTGGTTTTCAAGTGTACTACTCGGCGAAAAATTAATTCAGGCCCCTTATAAATTGACAATGGTTGGAACCTTGAGAAAAAATAAGCCGCAAATTCCGGCTGAGCTTCTTGAAAATAAAAAAGAGTGCCGAAATGGATCGTCAATATTTACGTATAGAGATATTACAATTGTTTCTTATAAACCTAAACAAAATAAGAATGTTTTACTTATATCTACAATGCATTCTCATGGAACTCTAAATCCAACGAACCAAAAGCCGAAGATTATTGAAACATAATTGTACCAAAGGAGCCGTTGATACCTTTGATCAGAGGTGTCAAAATATGTGCTGTAATCGTAAAACAAAAAGGTGGCCACTATGTTTTTTTTATAATATGCTGAACATGGCATGTATAAATTCATATGTAATTTATGTGCATAATTCAACTTCACGTGTAGGTAAACCTATATCAAGGCAACAATATATGCAAGAACTGCATAAAGGACTTACACAACCATGGCAAACAAACCGTCTACAGAATAATGCCAGTCATAGTAGACAACTAAAAAACATGATTTCTAATGTATTAGGTGAAGAGGACTTACCAAGAGAAAATATTCAAGACCAAAAAGGGACCAAGAAAGTATGGTAGTATGTGCTCGTATTTAAAAAAGCGGATGACAACAACTTACTGCTATGGGTGCAAGAAACCTATATGCGGCGAGCATCAAATAAAAATTTGTACAAATTGTCAAAATTGACCTCTAGGCTATTCTAATTAAAATAAATTTTAATTTTCTAAATACCTGCTTTTTATTTAAACTAATATATATTAAAACTACCAAAAAACTCAGGTATACGTCAAATTTACGTATCGATACCAATAATAGTACAGTAAGACCCCGCTTAACGCGTAGGATACGTTCCATCAAAGTGGAGCGTAATGCGAAACAGCGCTAAACGAAGCTATCTTAACATGTAAATAATGGTGTTAGGGGAAGATGGATAGAAAATTGGTTAGGTAATAAATTTAATAATTATTTTTTTTTTTAATAAAAATAAAACCAAACATTTATTTCTTACAAAAATAAAAACAATATAAACGAATATTACTTATAAAAACAAATAAAATTCTGAGTCAGTCAGATCATTCAGTCTATTATGTTTCCAATTTTCTGCCTTTTTGTCAAGAAGGCATCTAATGTAGTTTGCGTTTTCCTTTTGCGTTCTGTTAGTTCTGTTGTTGATAAGTAGATAAAGCATCTATAACACCCCGTCTTGCTTTTGAACTCCTGTCAAAATTTGGATCATTTTCAACAAATTGGTCCATAATTTCAGTTATAGTGGTCAAACTCCTTTTTACAAACGCCATCGAAAGTTTCTACACTGTTTCGGATAGGTTATGTACATATTTGGAAACCTAGCATTGCGCACAATTTCGGGGAATCCCCGTAGCGGTGCGAGCAATTTCGGGGAATCCCCGGGTCGAAATAAAAGAGCGCTAAACCGAAACAGCACTAAACGAAACAGCGTTAAGCGGGGTCTTACTGTATACAATTAAGCGATACCATTCTAGGGTTAAAAATGTAGATATAAAAAGTCGTGGTCATGATCATATCGTAAAAATGTAGACAGATGAGACTAAATACGGTTAATGTCGAAAGGGGGCTGTAACTCCGAAAGAGGGGGCCAGTTGGCAAAAAGAAAAAATATGAGCCCTTAATTTGTCTTAAGAACCTATGACCAAATTTTGTTGCATGAATTTCGGGACACCCTGTATAACCCTTATTATTGGAAAATATGTTGTTTATATTCCAAAAATATTTATTTATTATTTATTTATTTATTTATTAATAAAAGGGGCCCTTTTAGAGGAAAAATACAAAAACATACAAAGTAAAATAAAGTAAATATAACATGATTTACAATAAAAACAGTAAAAACCACAGACCACCTAGACTGGCTTATAGAGCGACTGGTGAAAACACTTAGGAGCCTGATTTGGAGCCCAGCACTCAGTCGTGTCCTAGCATTTGACGTGTACGCATCGTTGTGATTTCGATAATTAGACGTTTTATCATGGGCAAGTGTATTGTAAAACATTATATAAATAGAAGTGATCGAGTTGGTGAAGAGAGGCGATAAGTTTCCTTCTTTAGGTAAGTAAAAAAAAAAGGAATATATAAAAGGTAAATATGTACGCCATTTTTCGGTTGACGTCACAAGTTTCCAGGATTAGCTTTATAATTTTCTTCGCCCACATAGTGTAGTGATTAACGTGATATTGTTATTATAAAATAATGAATGAATTACTGTAAAATATTTTTAGTAATTATTTACTTTATGTGAGTCAAATTTTTATGAAATTTTACCAATTCCCGTTATTTGGAGATGGCTGAAAATTAATTAAATATTTTTTTCAATTGAAAAAATCGCAAACAAAACTAATTTCAGATTCATGTTTAGCACCCTGAAAAAGGAGAGTTGGCAAAATGTGATTAGAAAAATCAGAGAGTTTTGTGACAAAAAAAAATAATTAAGTATGCTTCGATTTTTCAAACCTAATATTTAAATTTTTACAGATTTCAAAGGAATGTTGACATAAAACGAAGATGGGAGAAGGCTATTAAAAATCAGGACTGGACACTAGCAAGTACATTATAGTATGTATATATTGGCGGTTTGGTAACAAGTTCTTTAATAAAGCCAATAAAATGTGAAGACTGTAAATAGTTTAATGTCAAATACACAGTATTCATACAGTCAATTAATTTTTATTAAAAATCGTGGTTGTTTGACATATCTATCTCGAGATGTCGTAGTAATATGCCAAGAAACAGAAAAATTAATAAAATTTTTTAATAATGATGAAAACAGAACACCTAGGCTACAGAAAAATAAAATTGTTTATCATGTATTAAACAAAACTTTCTGAATGTGAACATATTTGAAAATTTGCATGAACATCAATTTGATAATTTGCCTAACAATTGTAATCATTTAATAGAACTTGTAAGGGCTGAATGTGAAAAGCATATCGATGTATGAATAAATCATGAAGTCAAATTATTTAATTCAGTAAAATCTATGAAAAGGCAAATATTAAATAAATTAATATTATTTAGAGGACAATAAATATATTTAAATTATTTTGTAGTTTTATTTAATATGACACTAAAATATACTATTTTCTGAATTACAAACTTAAAATTGAATATTTGTCATAAGATGCAATATAATGTTTAATATGTAATAAAAATATTACTTAATCCGGATCTGCGTAAAGATGCCCGTGATCAGATTGCCTTCCACACTCCACTTCCCCGGATTTTGCATTCACTGGTACCCGTGCATTGGAATTAGATACGGCCAGTCTAGGTGGTCTGTGGTAAAAACAAACACAAAGCAGATGACAATGACATTTAAGAACTAATTATAAGCAAATTTAATTTAAAAAAAAATGTGTGTATAATAGTGATGTAACGAATATCCGCATTCGCATTCGCGAATATTCGTTTGATTTATGATATTTGCATTCGCATTCGCAAATATCTTTGAATATTTTGCTAATATTAACGTGAAAGAAAAATACAGAATGTGAAAACAATATTACGTAAATTAAACAAAAAAGTATTAATTTCTTTTCTTTTTAATTACAAAACTTAAAACAATTATATTTTTCTATAATCTACATTTATATTTGGTGTTAATTAATCACCTTTCTTTAGACATTAGAAAACAAATAATACTATGTTTATATATATTATGTATGTATGTATGTAGGTAATCTAATTAAGTATTGTTTTGATCAGTCTTTGTCTACACATATTTTGATAAACATTTAGACTTAAAAATTAAAAACTTCTATAAGAAAAAAAAACAAATCTTAAACTTCTTTAAAAAAAATAAACAAACACTTTATCTTAATTCTTTTATGAAACAGTTAATAATCAAACTTGAGAAGAGGAATATTAAACAAAATTCCAATCATACAAAAATACCGTTCTACCAACTTAACAACGCTAATTTCTTTAGCCTCTAGCGCCGCTGTCACCGGAAATATTATGTGCGTCGCGCGCGGCATATTTTGAATCATAGATAAACGGCGCTAGATTTAAAAACTGAATATTCGCATTCGCATTCGCGAATGCTTAAAAACTGGCATTCGTTACATCACTAGTGTATAATGCAAATTTTTAATTGTAAATAAAATTACTATCCTTTTAGTTACCAAGGCCCTTTTTTAATAGAAGAAGTAGGTCAAGAAATTCTGCAAATGATTCCCAAAATTCCATTAATTCGGGAAATGAAAGTATGTCAGATATTGAAGTACCTAGTAAATCTGAAGGTTCAGATAGTTCTAAAGATAAAAGCCCTATGAATACTCGTTTGAAGACTCTTCTTGAAAAAATGAAAAAGCAGAAACATGGCGAAAAAGTAGAACGTATTTCGTCTAGCTATAAACTAAATAACAGTTCTAGCAGTCTTGGAACAGACGATGATTGCAGTAGTCCTTTGAAAAAACAACCACTGACAGAAGGTTCTCCAGTTGCCGAAGAAAAAAAGGAACACTTTGGTATGTTTTAGATCCTCTTTTTATTCTGCTGTTTTTTTAGTTTTTAAGGTGTAACGTTGATCTCTTAAATGTATTCATAGTTCCTAAATGTTTGGTTTCCTTAATATAATTTTAACGAAATATTTATTTATTTATTTATTTTTAATTTGCGAACATTTTAGAAGAATATACCTACTTATTTTCTATTTCATTTATTAATAATAATTGTTTTTATTTTGTTTTTACATTGTACAAATTTTAATTTGTTAGCTTTGTTTTTATAATAAAAGTGTTACTTCTTCCCTTTTTTATTCTTGACAACTATGATAATGAGCAAGAACATTGTAAAATGTTTATACAGGGTGTTCCTTAATGATAAGCGAATATGTAATGGTGTGATTCTACATGGAAAATTAATGATAAGTTTGCTTTATAAACAATGGCCCAAAAATGTTCCGTTGCGAAAATACTGGGTGTTGTAATTCTAGGAAAAATTATGTTTGTAATTGAAAGACATGTGCCTTTATTAACTGTCACTACGTACTAAATATCACAGAAATACTCAAGCGGTTTCAAAAATATTAATTAATTTCCTTTTATTTCCTAAAATTTTAACACCCCGTATTTTTGCACGAAACATTTTGGACCATAGTTTATAAAGCAAACTACCATTAATTTTCCATGTAGAATCACACCTTTAAATATTCGTATATCATTAAGGAACACCCTGTATTTGTTTTTTATTTTACTCTTGAATCATATAATTGCTACAGTTTTTATACCGATCTAAGTTCAGCTGAGTTAGTTTCTAAGACGACCCTTTCAGACTAATAGTGAGCGAAAAATTTTGATAACGCATGTATTGGGATCTGAGAAACTACAAGAGATGCCATTCTATCACTAATTTAGTGGCTCTCACAGACAAACTTTTAATGATTTTTGTTTGATTTTTTTAATGACTGGTTTAATATACTAGGCACAGAAATTAAGGGATATTAAAAAAATTCCAAAATTTTGGATGATTTTCCAAGAGTTGTAACTTTGAGGAAATGGTTGTAGAGAGAATAAAAAAAAAGGAAATTGAAGCTTCAAGTGTCTAGTTTTCAGATCTGCAATTTTTTAGCTTCAGCAGTTTTTGAGTAATCATAAGAAAATCAACGAAAAAAAATTTGTAAATTTTTGCTTTTTTAAAAAAGATTTATGGACTTCAAAAATTTTTTTTGGTATTTTCATCATAAAGCTCTTTTAGATAATGTAATTCTCTTCAATTTGAGCGGTTCCCGAGTCTTGTACGATTATTTGTCGCTGAGTTATCGTCGATCAAAGCAAAAAAATCATTTTTGACTGGCAATCAATTACTCGGGAAATAATGGTCGTACAGGAAATCCAAATAGGGTTTTGAAAACTGCAAAGTATTCTCTTCAAATCGTAATTATAGGTTTTTGATAAAAAAAAAATGTTTTAAAGTGAAAATGTTGGTTAGAAAAAAGTTGCATAAGTAATATTTGCATAACTTGGCATAACTTTGCAAATAATGAATAAACTAAGAATATCGACTGCAACTTTTCAACCTCAAAGTGTCCTAATAGCCCAGTTACTGTAGCCGAAAATATAGTAATACCTCCAAATTTTTTATAACTGCATCGATTTTTCTCAAAATTTAGAATTAGGCTCATCTTACCCTCAAAACTTATATATGTGCTAGGTGTTCTTAAGGGGTGAAAACCACCCCTTATTGGAAAAAAATACAAATTTAAGCATTTTATGTAATCAAATCTTTTTTATTCATGCAGTATGAGTAATTTCATATGCTATCTAACTTGAAACTTAATGTATCCCAAATTTTCAACCCGGAAAAACCTTTAAAACCACCCCTTTGGATGAAAATAATATAAAAAAATTTCAACTTGAAACGTTTTAATCAAGCATTTTTATCAAATTAAAATTGATTTCTTGATTAAAAAATCTTTTTTATCGATTGCAATCTTACAACCCTTAAAAAATACCCCTTCCTTCGAAAATAAAATGAAAAAGTATTATTGAAAGAGTAGAAACATTTTAAATGTACATTCGTATTAAATAAACATTTATTCCGTTCTTATAAAATTATTTTGAATTGATTGCATCTTTTCAACCCTTAAAAATTACCCTTTACATTTATATATATATCACACACAAAATTAAGATTATTTTCCTTTTTAATAATAATAAATACAAAAAAAACATTATAATTATATGTAAATGATTATTCGTCATCACTGCTATTCTCTTCACAATCATGCTCGTCCTCTTCGATGATTGGAGGAGAATTTAGGCAGTTGTCGCCGGAGCATGTTCCACATGTCAAATTACGTATATCCACGTGTCGAAATACGTATATATACAAAAAAGATCTAAATGCTTATAAATTCTTGTTTGACCTAAATTTTCCTAAAATTATCACCTATACACACACATATATATTTTTTTGACGATAACTTTCTTACTTTTTAAGATTTTTAATCGCACAAAGGCTCATTTTGCAGGGAGTTGTAAGGGCTACGTGAACTGTTGTGTTGATCTTTTTTAAGCCCTTCATTTTTAACTTTGAAGGGTTTAAAGGGCTCGAAAAGGGTGGTTCTCTCATTCATATGATAACTTAAAATGGCGATATCTCGATTAATATTAATTTTAGAGGAATAAAAATAACAAGCAAAATCTTCAGCAAAAATGAAGCAAATTTTTTTTTACACTTGTATTTTTTTCGTACACCTTTTAATTTTTAAGTTACAGTGTAAAAATCGAATTTTTTTCAAAAATTTGAAAAATTAACATTTTCAAAAATTAATTTTATTTCGAAATCATGCTTTGTAATTGAGTCAAAGACCCAGAACATATTCTTAAACATAAATGAAGACATCTGTAAATGGATTGCATTTAATTTTAATTCTGTCACCAAAGGCACTGATTTGTTTATTAATTTTTTCTTAAAAAATGAGACTATCATGTTATTTCGATCATATTTCCGTTAATTTTGATTCTAAAGTTTTTTAAAATAGCTCATTTTAAAGGTTTTTCAAAGTACTTTAAAAAAGGTTCAAATAGTTTATCTATCTATCTATCTATCTATCTATCTATCTATCTATCTATCTATCTATCTATCTATCTATCTCTATCTATCGATTCCTGTGGTTATTTTGGGCGTAAAAATTTCCACCCCCAAGAAGGGGTGGGAATCATCCCCAGGGCAAAAGCACATTTCCGCACTATATAAGTTTTGTTCCTTGAAGCATTCCCCACATTCAGTCAAAATTTCACATCAATCGGTTCAGTTATAAAGAATTCGGAGGTAAAAACCCAGACTAACTGGACTATAAAGAAACCCTAATAATTTCAAAACGCTGCGATTTTTTTTCCTAGCGCTCGGAATTTGTGTTTTGCTGAAAATCAATGTAATAAGTAATTTTTCACTTTTTTTTTCATTTTTTTAAGTTAAAAATATATTTTTAACAATAATCCATATTTTCTTCATCAAAAAACGTTCATGATTCTAAAACAAAATTAAAAAAAATTTTTTTTCAAAAATTATTTATTTCAATTTTTTTTTTAACATATCCACAAGCTTCACGAACATCAAAAAAAATTTGGTTGATGTTGCAGATCACAATTTAATATCGGGTATTGCTAAAGTCAATTTTTTTGCTTTAATCGACAATAACTCGGCGACAAATAATCGTACAACGTTCCGGAACCGCTCAAATTGAATAAAATTAAATTATCTAAAAGAGCTTTATGATGAAATTACCAAAAAAAATTTTTTGAAGCCCGTAGGCCTTTTTAAAAATATAAAAATTTACAAATTTTTTTTCCGTTGATTTTCTTATGATTACTCAAAAACTGCTGACGTTAAAAAATTTTAAACTGCAGATCTGAAAACTCGACACTTGAAGATTGAATTTCCTTTTTTTTATTCTCTCTACGATCATTTCCTTCCAAGTTACAGGCTCTTTGAAAATCACCCAAAATTTTGGGATTTTTTTTAATATTCCTTAATTTCTATGCCTAGTGTAATATATTGAGCGAAGAGATCCAACGTTTTTTCATACAGTTAGCTGAGGTCTATAAAATGTTTTAGTTGATAAAGAGGGAGATGTTGCTCTGTCAAATTCAGATAATGAATGTATAAATCACCCCACAAACTCTGTGGTAAGGAAAAGAGTTGTTTCAAGTAATGCAGTGTTTGTACCAGGAGGTGCCACTTTTACTTTATTAAATAAGAAGAAAACTGCAAAACAGACGCCTAAAGACTTAACTGCTTCTATTCCTAAGATTTCTTCTGATGAAGATCTGAGTGACTGTAAAACAAAGAACGTTGTAAATGAACATGTTAGGGAGGAAAGTAGTCCTGGTGATGACACGTCGACAACTGAGGAAATTAAGACTCATCTTAATGATGTGGGAAATAATCGCGTAAACCAACTACAAATAAAACCTTTCTGTACCTGTAAGCAGTGTGATCATTGGACTAACGATAACGACTGGTCGGTAGATACAAAATTTTTAAATGAATCTAAGGAGTCAAAGCATTTGTGTATCAACAAGCCACAGACTTTATTTATAAAAGATGGAAATCAAAATTTGGCAGACGATCGAACAATCATTTCGTTGAACTACTCGTCCAAGACAAAGTTGCAAAAACAATCCATGCTTAAATTGCTGGTCCACGGGTATGTATTGAACTTTTCATGTTATTCTTTGTAGACTGAAAAAAATTGTATACACTGTTAGCGACGACCTAGATTTCTAATTTTACGAGGCATCTCAGAAAGTAAGAGTACTCAAGTTTTTTAAAATCGAAACGGAGTATATTTATGAAGAATTTACATGTTCAGAAAGCTAGATTTTTTTATATCAATGCACTTTTTCGTCTCTTGGACCTATTGTTTCACAGTACTGTGGTGTGTGATTGTTTTTTGTCCCTTAAACAATTTTGATCTCATTAAAAATCTGAAACATCACCTTTTCCTTTCCAAGAAGAAACCGGATTATGCTCCTCACCTCGCAGCTGACGACGTTTGTAATAGTGGCACTCATTTCAATACACCACTACAACAACAATTCTCAACTGACTGAGACAAATGAGCATGCGTTCTGCTCATACCTTGGCCTTATATAGGGTGCTTCAATTAAAACATCCCACCTAGAAAATATCGGAATTAAAAACAAAAAACAAAAAAAAAGTTGAGACATTTCAATTTTCTTTTCAAGGGGTACACGTGGTGGCATAAGTTTCGGTGTGTTGGAAGCTACCCCTTGGCAGGGGCGTAAAATACCCTTAAACTTTAAATGGCACCATATGTTGAGTGACCTCATTTTAAAGCTTTTTCAATTCTGCTCACGACGACATACGACTTCTTAAATTTTGGTTTGGATATGACAATAAAATCATCATATAAAGAATAAGACAAAATATCAATGAATGAAAGAATGTTATTTTATTACGTGTTTAAATCGGTTTCCCTCCGCTTCCATACAATAATAAAATTTTTGCTCTACTTCCCAATGAACATTTCGAAGCATTTTGGATTTTGTTTGACGACATTCTTCCACAATTTACCAACAAAGCTCCTCAAGTCAGTTCGGTCGTGTTGCATAAAGTTTTTTTCTTAATTCCGATATTTTCCAGGTGGGAAGTTTTAATTGGAACATTCTGTATACAGTGCTGCCAACTTTGTCGAAAATAAAAACCAAAGAGCATCAGAGTCTCAGTACTCTTACTTTGTAGATATGCCTCATATTCAAGAGTTAAAAAATTGCATTGTGGTCACATATTGGGAGGTATAGACTCAACTTGTGCCATTACTGTGGTAAAAACCTAAAAACTAACCAATATGGCATCATTGGCGATTGGAAAAATACAGAAATGCTTCAAAGAAGTCTAACAATTACAAGATATCTTATTTTCTTAATAAAAAACCTTTTCTTTTTTTAATGGTATCTCGCTTATTGTTAGAGATGGACCCAACAATTCCTATATGACTATTCTCGACAGAGAACATTCTATCCAGGGTGTTTCATTTAAATTAACAAAGTTAACATCTGCGGCCATTTTGTTTGGACTTAATTTGTTTTTATATTATCATTTTCAAAAAATTCATAAAAAATTGTGTAATCCATGATCCGTTGCATTTTAAAGGCAACTTTTCAAAAAATCGCTAGTTACTTTTTTATAAAAAATCTGGCCATGCAACTTAAATAAGTTTCACTTGAAACCTCAAACTTCAAGTTTAGTTTTTTTAAATTTTTTGTTCAGACATTGGAAATGGCTTAAGATGAAAGCCATTTCTCTAGGCTTTGCTAGTTTAAACTTTAAAATTCAAGTTTATATAACAAATATATTCTGCATTATAAATTGATGAGATTTTGGATACAGAGGTTTTAAGTGATGTTGATGAAAGTTATCGAGCCGGACTTTTAATAAAAAATCACGTAAGTAATTTCCTGAAAATTCCCTTCTTTGAAAAAGTACAAGCCATGAATTACCTGGACCATTTGAAGTAATTGAACATCTAGAAAGCTACTATACAGGGTGGCTCATTAGTGTGAGAAAGTAAAATAACTCCCTTGTTACTCATAATACAGAAAAAAAGTTTATATAAAAGATACAGAATCAAGAAACCTAAACTACAAAATTAATTTGAAACATACACAGTGATGAGTAAAAACCGGACACGCCAAATATTAAATTTTTTAAGTGGAACACCCTGTATATTCTTAAACTGATGGATTTTCGAGAAAATTCTATATATGGCAATATAAACAGTTTATCATTTTAGTGCGGGGTTGCCAAGTTATGTAGAAAATTCTTTGAATTTTGAAAAAAACATGACCTCGAAGAAGTTGTATTAACTTTCAGCTACTAACACTTGGAGCAAAAATATTTGATAGAGTTATAGGCAAAGACTCCTATATTAGCTAATATTGATATTTTATACAGGGCATTTTTTATAATACGATCATTTTAAGAAAGTTCAAACTTGATTCTCTAAAATTTTTCAAATGGAACACCCTGTATTTTATTGTCTACATAACTTGGCAACCTCGCACTAAAATGTTAAACTGTTTATATTGCCATGTACAGAATTTTCTCAGAAATCCATATGTTTAAAAATATACAAGGTGTTCCATTTAAAAAATATAATATTAGGTGTGTCCCGTTTTTACTCATCGCCCTGTGTGTTTCAAATAAATTTTATCCTTTAGGTTTTTTGATTGTGTACAACTTCTATATAAACTTTTTTTTTGTATTATGAATAAAAAGGGAGTTATTTTACTTTCTCACACTAATGGCCCACCCTGTATATATAAATTAAAAAAAAAAAATAAATTGAATTTTGTCCCAAAAAAATTAAACGAGTGTCCTAGTTCTTAACCAGGGTGATTCAGGTTTAATCTGGACAACTTCAGGAATCGATAGAACAGGTTAATATAATGTTCATTCATAATATAAACTTATTTCTTAAATCATACCGTTATGGAGATAGAGGGAGTTGAAGTAGAAATTTTTTTCCTGGTTTTCCCTCGTGGGTTATCATTCCAGTTCATGTCACAACTGCGGGAGGTTATTCTTTGGACCATTTTTGACCGAACAGTTTTTGAAGTATGGGATTAAAAAAAATATCAAATAATCAAATTTTGAAAATCACCTCCTCCAATATCTTTGAAGATGATTGTGTAGATAAATTAAACTTAGGCTATTATTTAATCAAAGACAAAAATTTACTGGTATAGTTACTTTTGGTTTATCATGTTTCATTGCAATTCCTCAAAATAATGTTAAAATGAGGGGAATTATGAGATACTGCGTTGGCATACATAAAACTAGGAATTGTCGTCAAATGGACAGTTAATTATGTAGCAATTATTTATTGACACATTGATCACATTTTTTTTTATTTTTCTGCAGCCTAGGTGGCAGTACCAACAACTGCCAATAATAGCGACTAATTGTTTAAATGCAAATCTACAATGTACTAGAATTTATTGCAAAGAAATGCCAATGCATAACGTACTCTATTGACGAATACTAAGCTCAACTTGTTTATAGTTATTGCAATCAGAATTTTTTAGTAATAAAGTGAAAAAAAAATGTTTATAAACAATACGAGTTAAATTGTAGAGCCTTTGTGACAATTGCCTGTAGTATTTGTACTGATCAACAAATTTGATTACTAATTCTGTAAATTTCATTAATTATACCATGTACTCAGACTATGTCAAATATCTTCACTGATATTTGAATAAATGTAATATTTTTCTTAAGTCTACCGAATAACCCCTAAAAGATATAACACAGACTAAGAAAACACCATGTATTTGTTTATATCAATGAGTTGATGTTATTAAAAATTATTATAGAGAATATTCACAAGCTCCAGTGAGGTCGCTGTCCGAAGTTTGCTTTCATGAGGGCATCCGAAATAGTTTGCATCAATTGAAGTACAGGGAAGCAAAACGTATTCAGATATACACGTGGCCAGCTATTTTTCGTCAGCAGCACGTTGTTATGGTGAATGGTCCACAGACCGGTAAAACGATAGCATACCTTCCGGTAATCCTAACATTTTTATTGGAAAAAAACGAAAGATATCGGCAATTCATGTCCAAGACCAATGGACCCATCGCTATAGTACTTTGTGCTAATACTAAAAAGTGTGAGGAAGTATACGATCTGAGTAAAACGTTACTAGGAGGGAATAGGTTGAAGGTTTCTTTAATCACATATCCTCTTTCACATGTCAATACGGTAAGTATTTAAATTTTTATGATAATGCTCGTTTGTCAAATACATACTGCTGCTACAAAGGTTAGGCTTCCAAAACGTGTTGCCAATCCAGTGTAGATATACGTTTAAAAGGATCCCTCACAAAATGAATGGAAATTAGGTCCTGTTAGATTTGGCTGGAATTGTGATGTCATATAGAGGGGGAAAGTGTGTGATTTTGGCTGTAAGGCTGAGTAAGCTTCACGAAGTTGTAAGTTGATGGATTCAAAAACTGAGGCATGTAATGAATCTTGACCAGTAGGTGCAATGCTTTTGGGATCGCTGAACCTGAATTCTTGGATAGCTTATCTATATAAGGTCACCTGGAGGTCAGGTAAAGGTCGTTTCAAGGTCAAACTGAAGAAAAGACTTGTATTGAATTTTGACCAGTGAGTGTATAGGTTTTTGGGCTCGCAGAATCTGAATCTGGAGATAGCGTAATCCTAAAGGTCAGCTTCAAGTCTATTCAAGGTCATTTCAAGACGAAACTAAAGAAAAGGCTTGTATTGAATTTCAACCAATGCGTATATAAGTTTTTTTTTGGGGGGAACTGAATTTGGGGATATCTTAGCCCTACAAGGTCACATTTAGGTCAAGTCAAGATCATTTTAAGGTCAAAGTAAGGGCCTTTCACGAATGTTAACCTGTAAGTATGTATGCTTTTGAGGTCGCTGAACCTGAATTCGGGGATAGTTTAGCCCTATAAGGTCACCTGGAAATCAAGTCAAAGTCATTTCATTTGACTTAATCTCAATTCAAGACCCGCAGGTGATCTTATAGGGCTAAGCTATTCATTACATGCTTCAGTTTTTGCATCCATCAACTTGAAACTTCGTGAAGCTTACTCAGTCCTACAGCCAAAATCACACACTTCCCCCCTCTATATCTCTGAAACTATCCATAGGATCACTTTGGGCCCATGACAACTTTGCATCAGAATGTCGAGAACTAGAACATATCACAGTTTCAGCCAAATCTAGCGGGACCCAATTTCCATTCATTTTGTGCGGGGTCCTTTCGGTAGATACCAATAAATATTTGTAGATCGCTATAATTTATTTTATTTAAATACTGTGTTAAAAAAATGTTTCTAGAGAGAACTTTATTTTCCTATTTTACTTCACCCAAGATTTGATTAATATATTTTTTTTATTACGCAGAAAATTACTTTGCCTAAATATCGTTTTTGTTTCTATAATTAGTATATTTTAGTTCTCATTATTGTAATATGTATTAACTGTAAATGAATGTAATGAAATAAATAATTGTAAATCTGTTGTCAAGCTAGTTAAAATAGACATTAACAAAATTAGGGGTGTCAATTAAAAAATTTTGAGTTTTCCACATTTTCTGAACTTCATATTAAAAATTATTTTTTTTTTACCACCCTGTATAAAAACTGGAAAATTTTCATGTCAAGGTCGATAAATTAAGTCTTCCTCTACAAAATGTCCAATTTGCACAAAAAATAAACCTAGGTTTCCGAGAAAACTAAATTTTGCTGACCGTCTGCATCTGTCAATTTTTGCTTAAAAATCAAAATATCTCGTGAACGGTCAATCCTAAGTATGGAGTGTGCTATATGTTTTCAACTTAAAAGTAGATGCTCTTTTCGAAAATTCGATAATATACAGGGGGTTCCATTTAAAATAAGAAAGTTAGTATCAACTTCCGGTATAACCATAAGTACGATGACTTAATGAAAATATTTTAGTTTGGTAGGCCCCACGATTTGTATCACCATCACAAAAACCTTTCGAGCAGTTTCCCAGATATCCATCGATGAAGTTTGTGCTGGAACACCCTGTATATTATAACAAAAAATTTGTAAAAACCTGTCATTGAAAGTATTGTCCATCGCCGGCCACTAATTTCTCCCATCTTTCTGTCAACGTCTTTTGAGGCTATCCAAAAGACAACCCATTTTTTGCATCTTCATGAGAATGGAAGTACTGCTCTGCCAGGCCATATACCATGGACCGGAACAAGTGATAATCAGCAATGTTTGGTCAATATGACGGGTGGGGTAGGACTTTCCAATTAAACGTTTGCAAGTAGGTTTTCACCGCTATTGCAGCATGTGATCGAGTGTTGTCATCCTGCAAAATGACTGTCATGTGCTCATATAACGGTCATTTTTCCTTCAATGCTCGGCTCAAACGCATCATTTGTAGTTGATAGCGATCTGCCATGATGGTTTTATTTGGTTTGAACAGCTCGTAATAAACTACACCCAGCTGAAACTACCAAATGCAGAGTAGAAGCTTGAAACCATGGATATTTAGCTTTGTCAGCGAAATAACATACACTGAATTTCAAGCCTGCTTATAGTACATACTTTTTTATAGGTGTGTTACAATTTTAAACTACCCGCTTGCAGTTCTGGTACCTAACGCCATCTGTTGGAAAGCGAGAACTTATTCAACATCTATATACTTTGAGAAATTCCAAAACGACCCTATTATGTATTTGTTTTTCTGTAGTTTGAAACTGGAATAATAAATAATTGCAATGGATTTTTTATTTTCAGAAATACACAGATATGTTAGTAACTACGCCGACAATTCTTGTAGATTTGTTGAAGCAGAATGCGATCAATTTCAAAAGACTGTGTCACTTAATTTTAGAAGACGGAGACGCAATCCTCAAGCTAGAACCTGAGATAATGAACGGTATCTTTGATTTAACTCAAAGCATGTTATCTAACCGTATACATCCAAAACCGGTTCAGTTAATAATCTGCGCAGAACACTGGGACCTACGTTTAGAAAATCTAATCCGCAGACTAAACAAAATACCACTGATATGCATCGGAAACTATTTAGAGGCTGCGTTGTATGGGAAAATTCAGTTCTCTATGAAATTCGTTAATTCAGCTTGTAAAGAGCATGAATTAAAAAGTAAGATTTTTTTTTGGCCTGGGTTCCCCGTCTAACTTTAATATTTTAAGGTTTACTCAAAGACACGTTTAGGATTTGTAAATCTATAATATTGTGTAAGGAAGAAGAAATAGAGGAAATTCAAACAATTCTAATGCTGAAAGGTATCGACGCTACCGTTGTATCAGAGCATATGAGTAAGGAAGATATTTTGTACTTGGAACAAGTTTGGACCCAATGTAAAGGTGGTGAATATACAGGTAAGTAACAAAAATCCATTCATATTTTCAAATATTTGTGCTTTAAAGGTAATTCAAATTAATTTCATTCATTAATATCTAAAACAAAAATATGAAAGTTTTTCAAATAATAAAAGAACCTGTACCAGATATATTGCAATCATTAAATAATTATTAAGATTTATTACATTAATCTGGATGCAAACATAATAAACATGTGTGAACGATCTTTTTATGCGAGCAAGCTTGTGTCTTTTACAAAATTTCGCAGAAGATTGATTGAATTGATGCATGCTTGATCAAACGCATTTGTGCAAACATCGATTAGTAGGGCTGTCAGAACTGAGCTGCGGGACATAGGCGTACTCATTATTTATTAGAAAGCAACAAATTATCACGTTGACTGTGGTATATACCTCGGGGGATATGTACTCATTATAAAAAATATGCGAATCTCAATAATCACATTTTTACTATATCTTGTGGAAGTTGCAGAATCTGTAGTTTTTGGCCGATTTCAAAGAATCAAATAGCTTTTGAATGAGGCTTCCAATTTTTACATATTAGGCTTGCTGTCAATATGCATATCCCGGGGGATATGTATCACATAGAAGTAATATAATATAACTAATATGCGGCACATATCTCCTGGGATATGTATTTATTCGATAGTGAGCAATATAACGAACCACCGAAGGACGGTGTTGTTGTTGCACGGAGGTTATGTTCGAGTCTTTATATAAAGTGCTAATTATTTCTAGTTTATTGTGTCCAGTTATCAAAAAAAAATCGTACAAAATAATACTCGGACCAGAAATAATGATTTTTCTATTTTTTCTTTTCAAAACTTTGCGAATGAAAACGTTAGTATCCTAGGATATATAGTTACAGATACATGAAAGTTTATAGCAATAATTGTGTTATTTTTAATTTTATAGAGAGTCAAATGTAAAAAAATTACATATTCCCAGGGATATATACCGCACACAGAAACAGTTTTGTTACATATCTCTGAAGATATGTATCACAGTCACGGACAAAGTACATTGAGATTATCTCGCAGTCAATGTGTTAAATTGCCTACAATGCACCACCATAAACTCCAAGGGATAATAATTAATTACGCAACATCTGCACGATAACAAATCAACAGTATACTTACGTGAAGTTAACGTGAAAAGCATTCTGAGGTCGCGGTTTATGCATTTCTCGGTTGACCCCCTTGGAAAACCATTGAATTGCGGCTGTCTGTGACAGCCTTATTGATTAGTCACGAGACAGCATATGTTGGTAATAAGTCTGCTGCATTTTTTAACTGCGATTCAAAAATGTCTTCTAGTAGATTAAAATAGTGAAACTTGGCCTTATCATTTAATTAAAGGGTGTTCCAAAAATCACGTAAGAAGTAATTTTGATAGAAAACAGGTTTTTAATTAAAAATTGTTAATTTTTTATTGATTCATAAAGTATACAGCATAGGGTTATGTATGGTTATGAACAGCATATCGGGCAAATGGCCTCCAAGGCTTTGCTGGCATGTACAGTGCCAGCCCTTTGAAAGTGGATGACTCTTATAAGCAAATTGTCTATAATTGGCCTTTGTGAAGCTGACTTGAAAATGTGAGGTTCAAATCGGCTGTCATTATGTCAAATTTCATGTGTGTCTATCATACTAGTTCTAGTGAGCAAAACAAATCCAAATTAGGTAGCAAATTATTTATTTTTCCAATTCTGAAATATATTATACATTCTAACGGCCATTCATTCGCCGTCAACGAGATCTAAAAATTAAACACTGCGTCGTCAAAAAAACATGATTCGTAAAGTTAGTATTTTGTCCAAGCACCATTTTTGTCTATAACACTGCAATCTACATGGCATTGATAAAATTAATGTTCTTGTTATAATCCTCAGTGATATTATCCCATGTGTTTTTAATTGCTTCCCAAAGTTCTTCGACGTTAACTGGCGGAAGTTTCTGTCCTAAATTTTTTTCACCATATCGATGTTGTTATCAATTAACCATTCTGACGACAATTATCCTGCTTGAAAGTGAAATTCTGAGGATACAGCATAGTCACAACAAACATCAGGACTTTGGCAGCTTATCCAAGCCCAAACGTTAATGGAGAATCTAACGCTGCACTGTGTGGGTTTCACATAAGACTCCGAATACCTTATAATCTCTGGTGGGTAGACACAGACAGAAGCATCGGAGCTAGTCTGGAAACTTTTTTCGTCCGAAAATATAATATTCTCCCAGAAGTTGTCTGGGCTTCCTACAAATTGTCTTGCAAACTCTAACCTCTGTTCTTTATACTGGGGAGTCAAAGCAACTGTATTTGCGGCCACATAATTCTTCAGCTCCGAATCTTTCACCCGCTTCCTTGCAGTTCACACTGATCCAGGAAAATTCGTCTCAAAGGAAGCCGCTACTGCCATGTCAAAAGGATTTATTCTTAAGTGGTGCTTACTTTTTGACGTCCACCTCCGTGAACATAACGTACGTGACCCTCCGCAATTCATTTTTCTTTGAGTTTAAATATGCTGTTCGTGCATACATGCAGATCATCCGCAATGACCAATCATTCTGAAGTAAACTTATAGCTCTCACTTTTTTTGGTTCCGTTAAACGTGGCATCTTGAATTACCAAGCAAATTACTAATGACACTGACATATAAAAACTTGTCATAATAAAAAGTAGATCACATCACATTAGAAAAATAAAGCGTTCATTTTCAAAGAGCCGGCAGTGTAGGCACTCTTTTGTCGAAATTTTCCATGACCATTTTGCATAAATGCGGCTGAATTTTGTTGAAACAATGCTCAATTTCCTTCGTCAAGGCATGGGTGGCCGTGCACTTGTTGGCATAAACCCCAAATAAAAACGTCCAACGGTATTAAATTGCATGACCTGGGCGGCCATTTCTGATCACCAAAACGGAAAATTAGACGACCAGAAAATGACTCATGTCATGTACATCCGTATCTTGCAATTTAGGCAGAACAAACTGGATTATCATGTCGCGATAGCAAGCACCGTTAACTGTTATTGCCTGACTAGCCGCATTTTCGAATAACAATGGTCCGATGATGCCTTCAACACAAAATCCTCACCAAAAATCACTCATGATTTTCTGAACCCCAAATTTGTCGATTAACAAAGCCATCAGATAAAAATGAGCCTCATTGCGGAAGATGTGCTTGCAATGTGTAGGTGCCAGACCTTCATTATTTTTTAAATATTGCTCAACCATGAAACCGCATTGTTCTTTCGTGTAACCCTCTCCACTTTTAATAACCCTGAAGTATCAGCTGTCATCCAGTCTTTTTTTTTTCGATAGCAACACTACGGTACAAATAGTGTAAAATCAAATCTTACGTGAATTTTGGGACACACCCAATATTATCAGCAGGGATATGAGCAGAGAAAAAGCGACTGTAAAGGGCTGTAGATAAGTTTAAATTTTAATTTTGTTTTTATAACTATTCCTATAACTTTTCAAATTACATTTCAGGTATATTATTTTACCAAAAAGGTGGTATATAAAATTAAAATCACATATATGCTTACACAGTGTGATAGTTATGGAAAGTCATGCATGCTTGCACAAGATAGTTTGTTACATTTGTTCTCACTTTTTTTTTTAAATCGACGCTTTAGTACGAAAACATGCTATCTCAGATTTTGGTTGGAAAACATGCTATCTGAAATTTCAGTTGGAAAACATGCTATCTCAAATTAAGTTTGGAAAACATGCTAACTCAGATCTTTAAGTAAAAACATGCTATTTCAGTGTGACTAGAAATTTAAGTTGGCACATTTAATGATTGAAACCGTGAATTTATAATAGACTTATATAATATATTTTTAAAAAAGTAAGGAATGTTTATGTTCAGGTACACTGTTTATTTTATTTTTTTTATTTCAATCATTCAATGTGCCAACTTAAATTTCTAGTCACACTGAGATAGCATGTTTTTACCTAAAGATCTGAGTTAGTATGTTTTCCAAGCTTAATTTGAGATAGCATGTTTTCCAACTGAAATTTGAGATAGCATGTTTTCNTAAGTAAGTAAGTAAGTAAGTAAGTAAGTAAGTAAGTAAGTAAGTAAGTAAGTAAGTAAGTAAGTAAGTAAGTAAGTAAGTAAGTAAGTAAGTAAGTAAGTAAGTAAGTAAGTAAGTAAGTAAGTAAGTAAGTAAGTAAGTAAGTAAGTAAGTAAGTAAGTAAGTAAGTAAGTAAGTAAGTAAGTAAGTAAGTAAGTAAGTAAGTAAGTAAGTAAGTAAGTAAGTAAGTAAGTAAGTAAGTAAGTAAGTAAGTAAGTAAGTAAGTAAGTAAGTAAGTAAGTAAGTAAGTAAGTAAGTAAGTAAGTAAGTAAGTAAGTAAGTAAGTAAGTAAGTAAGTAAGTAAGTAAGTAAGTAAGTAAGTAAGTAAGTAAGTAAGTAAGTAAGTAAGTAAGTAAGTAAGTAAGTAAGTAAGTAAGTAAGTAAGTAAGTAAGTAAGTAAGTAAGTAAGTAAGTAAGTAAGTAAGTAAGTAAGTAAGTAAGTAAGTAAGTAAGTAAGTAAGTAAGTAAGTAAGTAAGTAAGTAAGTAAGTAAGTAAGTAAGTAAGTAAGTAAGTAAGTAAGTAAGTAAGTAAGTAAGTAAGTAAGTAAGTAAGTAAGTAAGTAAGTAAGTAAGTAAGTAAGTAAGTAAGTAAGTAAGTAAGTAAGTAAGTAAGTAAGTAAGTAAGTAAGTAAGTAAGTAAGTAAGTAAGTAAGTAAGTAAGTAAGTAAGTAAGTAAGTAAGTAAGTAAGTAAGTAAGTAAGTAAGTAAGTAAGTAAGTAAGTAAGTAAGTAAGTAAGTAAGTAAGTAAGTAAGTAAGTAAGTAAGTAAGTAAGTAAGTAAGTAAGTAAGTAAGTAAGTAAGTAAGTAAGTAAGTAAGTAAGTAAGTAAGTAAGTAAGTAAGTAAGTAAGTAAGTAAGTAAGTAAGTAAGTAAGTAAGTAAGTAAGTAAGTAAGTAAGTAAGTAAGTAAGTAAGTAAGTAAGTAAGTAAGTAAGTAAGTAAGTAAGTAAGTAAGTAAGTAAGTAAGTAAGTAAGTAAGTAAGTAAGTAAGTAAGTAAGTAAGTAAGTAAGTAAGTAAGTAAGTAAGTAAGTAAGTAAGTAAGTAAGTAAGTAAGTAAGTAAGTAAGTAAGTAAGTAAGTAAGTAAGTAAGTAAGTAAGTAAGTAAGTAAGTAAGTAAGTAAGTAAGTAAGTAAGTAAGTAAGTAAGTAAGTAAGTAAGTAAGTAAGTAAGTAAGTAAGTAAGTAAGTAAGTAAGTAAGTAAGTAAGTAAGTAAGTAAGTAAGTAAGTAAGTAAGTAAGTAAGTAAGTAAGTAAGTAAGTAAGTAAGTAAGTAAGTAAGTAAGTAAGTAAGTAAGTAAGTAAGTAAGTAAGTAAGTAAGTAAGTAAGTAAGTAAGTAAGTAAGTAAGTAAGTAAGTAAGTAAGTAAGTAAGTAAGTAAGTAAGTAAGTAAGTAAGTAAGTAAGTAAGTAAGTAAGTAAGTAGTAAGTAAGAGCCAAAATGACAAAATTAAGGGTTTTTGACCTATTTGTAATATATCACCATGTATATATTACAAATAGATCATCTCATTGTATTATCTTCACTTTTTGTTTCTTTACACTTTTTTGTATTCCAAGCCGATTAACAACAAAATTGATTTATTTGATCAAGTGCATTTTTACAGTTACTTAAATTACTTAAACGTCTTAGGGAGTCCATGCAAACAATAATAATAAGAAGCCATTATCTTATTTAATATTATTTATTGTGAAATTAAGCTTATTTTTTAAAAAGATTAAGTTTTAATAATGGCTTATGTATACAGGTCTGGCCATATTTATATTTCCGATACAAAGTTAGTAAATTATATATTTCACTATTCTCCCCTAATAATTCTGACTCCGTCCCCATATCATTTGTATAACTTTATGCCATCGATATAAGGGAATAAAAAAACGCCAAAAGTGCGCAAAGCCTGAGGTTCTAAGCTCTCCTTGACTATTGGTCTCTGTCTTGCATTAGGAATTTGGGAACAGCGTACGTCTAAGATACGTACATACGAAAGATAGAATACTGGACAATAATTACGTTTTTGATTTACAGCGATGGCATAAAGAGTATAATGGAATTGACAGCAGTGTTACCATACGTACAGTAATTACCCTATTTGTACGATATTTTGTTGACAAGAATGGTAAGAGGTTTTGAGACCATACTAAAGCATTTCAACTTTATTACAAATTATTTATAACCTTTAGTAAAAACTAAAACGGTATTCTAAAATAAAATGAGTGATAATTCTTAAGCAAAATAATTAATTATTTTCAAATGCTTATTAAATAAAAGCTTATTATTAACTAATAAAGTGTAAAATATTTCTAATTTTAAGCGTCCAAATTTGCGGCTCTTTCGTGTCGATGTTTGTAGAGAAGTTGCGTTAAATGACCCCATAAAAAGAAGTGATAGGGTGTCAGATCTGGAGATGGAGGAGGCCAAGGTATGATACCTCTTGTGGAAATAAGCCTTTCAGGAAAAGTTTGTTCCAAATAATCTTGAACTGGCCTCGCATTGTGTGCAGGTCATCCGCCTTGCTGAAACCAACTTTCCTCAAAATTTACATCCAAGTTTCGTACAGCTGCTGGTACAACACTACTTCGTAATAAATGCAAATATCTCTCAGTATTTAAGTTACCATCAATAAAAAAAGAGACCCACAATATTATCGCCTAAAATGCCAGCCCAAACATTTACTTTTTGAGGGTACTGCGTTCTTAATGGTATACTTAAATGCTTGTTTTCCCTGGACCAATATTGGACCGCTGAAGGATTATGACGGCCAAGTAGGGAAAAAGATGATTCGTCTGTAAATAAAATCTGCCTAACAAATTCATTATTTTCATCTATAGGCTTTGTAACCATTCTTTTTTAAAATGCGATGAACTGTACGACTTGGAATGTCAAGTTTTTCGGAAATTTGGGAGGAAGAACGCATCTCACTTAATTCCACAGAAGCACAGACATTAACCTCTTTTTCTCTCCTTGCTTCAGGAATTTGACAAGGTTCCTGATTGCTACATTTCGTACACCGATCAACACATCCACGCTCCTCAAATTTATGAAAAATATTCAAAACAATTCTAGCAGTGGGGACTGGTTCTTCGGGGTATGAAAATATAAATCGACCATCAACGACTTCCTCTGCACTTTCTGCACGACAATACTATTTAATAATAATAATTTTTTGTTCGACACTGTACACCATTTTTATTTTGTAATATTCCGTCTACCTCTTACCAAAGGTTTGAGTGGAATAATAATAAAAATAAAACTAAACAAACAGCAAAGCGCTTTAGGTATTCGGTCGGTTAACGAAAAATGCAACGGGGCATGTGCGCTCCCACAGTCAACCAATCAGAGTCCGAGTCGCAGGCTCGATGATATATGTCATGTCCGACCCCTTCCACCCGAAGTTGATAGGGGAGATGGGTGTAATTAACTTAGTCTATGCGAAAGAATTACCTGGTCAGACCTGTATGCAAATGCTGAAATGGCCAATATGGTTTATATTTATGACCTTGCAGATGGAGGCTAGGCCAATTTATATGGAAAAATTTCCAAATCCAAGAATGTTCAGAAATGTTTTTCGTCTTTCAATCAGGCCCATTTCAGAAAGGTCCAATTCTTGGAAGACCTTCGAGTGGTAGAAGGCATGAGTTGGAAGAAGCTATTCTACATGAAATTGAAGAGGACCCAAATACTAGTATTAGGAAGATCGCTGCAAATCATAATGTAAATCATAAATTAGTTTAGTCCGTTCTGAAGCATCAACAAGTTATACCTCACATACAAAGGGTTTGAGCCTTATTGCCGCAAGACTATCCTGCTCGCCTACAATTTTGCCACCGGATTTTGCAAAAAATTGAACAAAGTGTTGACTTTACCGCTGGCATATTGTTTACCAACGAAGCTAATTTTTCCAGAGATGCTATAATAAACTTCTACAATAAACACGTTTGATCTGATGAAAAGCCTCATGCCATAATGGAGTCTCGATTTCAACATCAGTTTTTTTTTTAATGTTTGGGTGGGTATTATTGGAAATTTTCTTGTTGGGCCTTACTTTTTACCAAGAACTTGCCGGTGCCATCTACAGACATTTTCTTGAAAACGTTTTACCTGAACTACTCGACGATGTTCCCAATGTGCTAAGAAAATGTGGTTTATGCAGGACGGGGCTCCCCCACATTTTAGTTTGATACTCGTGAATTTTTGAATGAGAGATTTGGTAATAACGTGATTGAACGAGACATTCAAGAACCAGGTCAACCTTGGCCATCCAAATCACCCGATCTAAACCCTGTTAATTTTTTTGTTTGGGGACATCTGAAGAAATTAGTTTACAAGGTTCATATTGAATCTGAGGATCACTTATGTCAACAAATTATAGCTGGTTGTGATGTGATAAGAGTTACTCCTGGAATTTTTGCATGTGTTCGAGCTGCAATTTCAAAAAGATCTGAAGCATGTATTTTAGCCATTTCCACATTTGTTATAATAAATCATCAATTATTTTGTTATTATTTTAAGTAATCTAATGAATATCGTAAAAATGCACTTGATCGATTAAATCTATTTTGTTGTTAATACATTAAAAGTGTAAAGAAACAAAAAGTGAAGATAATACAATGGCACATATATATATTTTTTTATTTTTGACATGTAGCTGGACAATGGCTGTCCTAAGACCACACATTTATATAACAATAAACCCTTATTTTTGAAAATATGAACATTTCCATTTTCACCAGGGGCCGCTGTGAATAAAGTATAAAGAACTGATATCTTAAGTTCAATATATTTCTTTCCTTGAGGTGAAATACTTGATAATTAATTTTTAGATAAGGATGAAATGCCAGAGTGTCGTACTATGCGATGAAAAATGTGAGGAGCATATGCCCAAGTTCTTTAATTTTATTAATAGTACGGAACTGCAAAATCAAATGTCCGATAAATTTAAAAATTTTTCTCAGGTGAGTCTTGACTGTACGTTTGTGAATTTCAATCAATTCTAAATATTTAGGGTTTAAAACATTTGGAAGAAGAGAAGAAATTAAAGAACGAAATAGGTTTATGCGAGACATTAAAATTGTTTGGAATTTGTTCTGTTACACACTGCCCATGGCGACACATCGTCAATAAAGACGTGGATATATCTGACTACTTACCCCAATCAGGAAAGATTAAATTTAAAATTGTTCGTATACACGATGTGACAAATTATTCCGTACAATTGATTCAACATATCGACATGGAAGACAACGTCCATGAGTTCACTGACAATTTTGATATAACGGAAGAGCTAACAAATGTAATAAAAATTTCTAAAAAACAAATTATTAATCCTGTGGTGGGACATAAATATGCTTATTATGACATAGATGAATTGGATGGAGTGTATTACAGATGTGACGTTCTTGAAATTGAAAGAAATGGATTTGTAAGAGTAAAATTGTTAGATAAAGGAAATATAATCAGAACAGAGCAAAAAAGGTTGTTCAAGTTACCCAAAGAATTCAAAAATAAACCCAGGGGACGTAAGTACATATATTTTTGATTTGACTGAATTACTAATCGGTAGGAACAGTCATTTATTTTAATAACCAGTGAATTTGAATGTACAGGGTATCTTGAAGTGGTTGGAAGAAGTGTAAAATTTCGGTACCTGCCTTGTTTTTTTGAATAATTTAATGAGACTTTTATATTTATTTGCAGTTATACAGGGTGTTTCGCATAAGAACCGACACAGAGCAGGGGCATGTAGGAGAACCCAAAATATGGTGATTTAAAGCAAGTTAGCAAGCTTAGTATAAAGATACTAAGCTGCATCATCCCTTATCAACCCTTTAAAATGCTTCAATTGAACTCTACTTACTTTCGATTACTGCTTTTGGTAACTACACTCATACCATGTACCAAATTTGGTTTTTCTAAGTTCAAGTTTAATTGAGATATTGATTTTGTTCGAAATTTGAAACCCTACTTTCAAGGTCTATAACTTCTCAGGGGTACAGCTTAGTATAAAGCAGTGGTCTTTAAATTTTTACGACTTGCGGAACCCTGCCAACATTTCAATTTTTTTGAGGAACCCCTATACCTAAAAAAAATTTACGAACACATTTTTTACTGATTATTTAATATATTATTATATTATTTTAATACGATTAACAAAATACATATTTCACTAAGTAAAAATTAAAGTAAGACTTTAAAGTTAAATTTGCAGTCGTATTTCAAATTTTGCATTAAGCGCATTGTGATACTTTGTTTTTGTCGCTACGTACGTAGTTGCAAAAGGCATTCATACATTTATTGCCTGGTCAACAATTTCAGGATATTCCTTATAAATCTCTAGTCAAAAATCAAAGGAAAGGCGACGTAACCAACGCGAAGAGCGCTGTGCCAGCTTATAAGTCCGACTACTTGTACTTGCGTAAATAGATAAAGCTCTTATAGTAACATATACGCGTGTACTTATAAAAATAAGTTTTAAGAGTATACATTTTTTTAAATTTTGTAATTGTCGATAATGAAATTTTAAATTTTTTAATGAGTTACGGAACCCCTAGAGAGATTGTGCGGAACCCCAGGGTTCCACGGAACACAGTTTGAATACCTCTGGTATAAAGGTAAGTTGCGTTAAATTACCATATTTTGGGTTCCCTTACATACTCCTGCTTTGTTTCGGTTATTATGCGAAACACCCTATATATGGAGTGATGAGTTATTTAATGGTAGATGTAAATTAGAGTTAGAAGTCTCACTATTAAAAAAATGCCTGAGATATTAATGGTATCATTTTTTTTACTTAAGATGAAGGTAGATTAAGTTTTACAATACTAAACATATCAAATATCTAACAAAATATTTAAAAACTATTTTCTGTTTCAATTTCTTTGAAAATAAAAAAAAATACAAAAATTGGAAGGAGAGCTGTGCTGATATTTTATTAGTAGTATACTAATATTATTACTGTAAAATATTGTTATAATGACTTTATTCACACCACATACTAACTAACAAACAATAAATTAAAAATAACAAATGATCAACTACAGAAAAAAAATTGTACAATGGTAAATCGTATAACTAGTATAGTTAAATTGAAAGACTCAAACTGATAAAACTGTAATTATTGGAAAACTTATATGTGTCATCTGTCATTGTTTTATTTTAAACAAATGACATGAGCCACCTATGACTGCATTTTTTAATAACATTTGATATAGTGTTCCATCTCTGATCCTTATAAGATTTACCATTGACAATTTTTTTTTTCTGTAGTTGATCATTCGTTTTCTTTATAATTTATTGTTTGTTAGTTAGTATGTGATGTGAATAAAGCCATCAAAACAATATTTTACAAGAATATTTTGTTTCAGTGTGATTTAAATAAAATAATAGATTTTCCTCTTATATCATACATTGCATATTGAAAACAAGTAAATATAGGGAAAAACTTTACATTACAAAAATTACTCAAAATTTAACAATCTTTCAGATTGACTGTATTTCCACGTTCCAGGGAACAAACAATTTTTTAGTATCGCCACGCCATCTGTATAGAGAGATTTGAACTAACAATTCTAACTCCAATTTGAAGCTATTGGAGGGACCTAATAACTCCAATTTCCGAAACTAAAATAAATTTCTTCATTTCGGAGATATTGGCAGCGGGAGTGTTAAATGGCACACCCTGTATACATGTCAAATACATTTTTTTAGTTACGGCTATTTGAGAAAAAATTTCTACCTCCACCTAAAAGGGGTTTTACTTTTTAGGACAACCTTGGATGGAAAATTTTTAATATAAAATCCTCCATAAAATTGACCCCAAATTCCACAATTTGATTATTTTTTTCGGCCATTACTGGAACAGTTTATATAGCAACTGTTTTTTTTTAGTTACTGATGTCTACTTAGCAAATTTTACGCCACCCCACCGTGATGAAAATTTCTCCGCAAAGTCATTCTTTAATTTGAAGAATTTGCTTGAAAAACACGATTACGGAAACATGATTATGACGGCCGATATACACCTCCAAATCGGAAATACCCTGTGGCTAAAAAATGTATATGAAGAGGTCACGTTATCTGAAAAAGTCATTCCCCATTTTCAGTTGACGAGAGAAATTTTGATGTCAAAGTTAGCGGAATACAATAATAATCAACTTAACAATTTATATAAATTGTGCAAGGAGGCTTCGATTTCTTTGCCTGTATACCAAAAGGCAAACGCAGTGCCCGCCCGAGAAGAGAGGAAGATTGAGCCGCAGTGGGCTCATTTGGACACGGATGTTAACGAAGTTACTTTCTCTGCAGCCATATCGCCAGATGAGATATACGTTAGATTAAATAAATTTAATGAGCAGTAAGTACGGTAGGGCCCTCGCATCTGGTGATTCATTTGTCAGTAGTTCAAATAAAATATATACAAATGGTTTGCCTCTATCTACGATTTTGGGTATCCTCATGAAACGGCGGATACGAGGGGCCTACTTTAATAAAAAGAAACTTATGTTTTATAGTGGAGTCAAGATAGCTTAAAATTATGAATTATTTAGAAATAATTATGGGAAGCATGGATTTTCCTAAAACCTTTTGAAATTACTTGGAGATAAGTTTTAGAAAAAAGTTATAAACTTAGTTTTGTACGCTAATTGTTTTTTAATTGTTTAAACAATAATAAATAGTTTTTTAAGAACATTTAGAATAATTCAATGAATTTTAAATCGCATTCTTTCAAATTGACAATATAGGGGTTTTCGATGTCGCTGAAGAATATGAAGTCGGAAAATGAAAATTCAAAATAGCTGATCCAATATGGCCTACTATTTTAAATAATGTATTTATCAATTATTGATTTTAAATCAAACTCGCCTATATTTATAATACAGGGGGTTTTGAGGTCGCTAAACAAGAATATGATGTCAAAAAATAAAAATTCAAAATGGGTGATCCAATATGGCCGACTATTTTAAACAATTTGACAAACAACAAAAAATATGACATGAATGATATGATGATGAATAAACAAAAATGATTTTTAAATACAAAATTACAAAATCAAAATCGTCCCCTATTATTTATTTATTCATTAATTATTTTAAAAATGGATCAATATTCATATATAAATATTAAACTCATACATTTTCAGGTTTAGCATAAAAGAAAACGAATATAAATACCTTAAATGCAAACTGAAGATTATTTGTAATATTAAGTAATAATATTACATTAAAGAATTACAAGTGTACTAGAGTGTAACCTCAAAATGGACAAAATATGTGAATAATACACTTTTTAACACACTAATAACTGCAGCTTACTCGAAACCATAAAAATCATATTCTTATACGATTTATAATAATAATAATTTATTTCTTATAAACGAAAAACGTTTTTAAAATAAATAAAAGAACTTATATTCACAATTTCAGATACAGAATATACGTTTTAAAAATTAATATTAAATCAATTCATCAAAAAAAGTTATTTTTTTACTGTTATAACAATTTTCCACTTATTACTATAAATAAATTTTTGCTGGATTTTTACAGGTCTTAACTTCATTCTTTGATGGTTTATTAAACAAAAAAAATAAAAGTTTTGTACATTATTAAACTTTATTTAACAATAAATTTCACGGATTTTTCATGAAATATTTTGTTTTTTCAACTATTATTTCAATTTTTTAAGAAAAATAAATTGCACCATCTTAAAGTAGAGATTTTAAGGTTTAAAAAGTGCTCTCATAAAGTTTTAATATCACATTTACAACTAGAGTTCTTGATCTATAAAGTATGGCCTAAAAAGTCAAATTTGTGATTTTTTAAAATTATTGAATATGTTGCGCTCAATATTTTTCAAATTAATTTTTTAAGATTTTTTCCATATTACTCACTGTTTCAATCATCATTTGAAGAGTAATCTGTGAAAGTTACAGATGTTTATTTTAAAAATTAAAAGAATGACGGCTATTTTATTATTATTGTACAAAATTATAGAATGACATAACTGTATACGTACTGTACCTATACAGGGTGTCTCATAATTAGCTGCCAGCCCTGAACAGGCAGATTCTATGATCAAAACTAAGTAACAAAGTTCATATGAACATTGAAGAGGGAGGAATGGAAATAATTTTTTTGCAATATCTCTCAATCGCGTTGTGATAAATGAATGAAATTTGGTATACACAAGTAGGTAATAGGGCACCTGGGCCTGGGAAAATTTCTAGGACCGTGGGAAAATTGAAACTTGTGTTTTTACCTAATTCCCAAAAATTTGGCCCTTGTCGGCAAAGATCAAAGGATGCCGCCGACAGATGTTAATTACAGGTGTGCAGCAGGGCCGACTTCGGCCCCTAGGGCTTTGCCCCACTTGGGGCCCCTTCATAGGACTTTGCCCCTAGGGCTTTACCCCCTGGGGGCCCCGAGTATGTCCCGCGAGGAGCTTCGCCCCAGGGCCCCCAACGCGGCCGCGCGCTTATCAGTAGCCGCGGTGTTCTTGGCGGTTATCAGTAGCCGGGTCTAATGCGGTGTACTTGGCGTTATCAGTAGATGACGTCAGACGGAGGGTTCGTTACCGTTCGCGGTGTACTAGGCGTTATCAGTAGATGTCGGGCGGGTTCGTTACCGTTCGCTGTGTACTTGGCGTTATCAGTAGATGTCAGGAGGATTCGCAACCTGCGGTGTACTTGGCTTTATCAGTAGATGACATCATTACCGTTCGCGGTGTACTTGGCGTTATCAGCGGATGTCGGGAGGATTCGTAACCTGCGGTGTACTTGGCGTTATTGGGGTCTGTATGATTACCTAATCTGGCGTTTGCGGTGTACTTGGCGTTATTGGGGTCTAATAACGTCGTATACGGAATGATATATATAAACTGTAGGAGCCGAAATAGCGGCATGTGTTAAAGAAGAGCGCTTCAACGGAATCTCAAACGTTCAAGACATATTAATAGCGTTACGTTATTTGTATTAAATATTACAGCTGTATCAATAAAACCAAGGCTGTGAATAATAATTTATTGCAACAGAGACAGAATAATTATACCTCTATTTAAACCCTCAGACGTTGTCACGTGGTCGCTTCTTTTAAACCCTCAGGCGTTGTCACGTGGTCGCTTCTTTTAAAACCCAGGTGTTGTCACGTGGTCGCTTCTTCTTACAAACCCAGGTGTTGTCACGTGGTCGCTTCTTCTTACCGTAGGTAGATGTAGTCCGGGAGGAACCTAGAGCAGAGGCACGGAATGAGAAAAAATCTCAGTATGTGTACAAAAGGTAAAAATACTATCGAAATAGTTAGGAGAACGATTAAAAAGCTATAAAAAATCTCTAATTTTCTATATTTAATTTTAATATTTTTTTTAAATTTTTATAGTCAAAGATACTATGAAAAAAAATTCGTCGCTTGATGGGAGGGCCTTTAGAGTTTAAAATTACATAACGGAATAAATCGATCTCAATGAAAAAAACCTAGATGTTCAGATGCAAGTAATAGACGCGTTCGAGCTTCCTTGTTGCGATTTTTTAGTAATTACCCGCCTCGGGCGGTTGAAATGCACTTGAAATCAAGAGGGGACTATGGAACGGTACGAATACAAGAAGATCATTTTAATATCCTAAAGTACACATACCTGACACATTCCACGATGTGGACAGTGGTCATGTTCGCTGCAGACAGGAACTATCTGAAAATATAATAATAATAATTAGAAGGATATTTTCAATCAGACGGAAAAATGACTAACGTCGTGTGGTGTTGCCGCATATGTCTCTTAAAGGTATGAATTTTATAGAACCGTCTTTTACACGCCACACAATATCGATGCCTGCGTAAATGTTTTCGAAAGTCTTTTACAGCAAAAAACATGATTACAATAGGGACACACTTTTAACAGTTTCTACACGAGCCACACGCAGCAGATCCATTTGGAATTTTGAGATAATATACGGGGAACATCTCTCTCTCCGTTAATCAAAACAGGATACACGAGCCGTTCTACCACCTACGCAAATTACTTGCAAAACAGATAATACTTCCGCAATTACTTATTTTTCATTATTCAAAAATGTACTACTGCGCGGTGTGTGACAGCTGTTTCTGTTTCTGCAAAGAAACCGTAGAGTAAGTATATGAATTTTAAAAAATCAGTCTAATCGAGGCTTTCAGGCACTATCAAAAATACGGGGAAATTCCTGGTAATCTGTAAGTTTTTAAATAAATAGTATTACGCAATACAAAACATTCTTTTTTTAGCTATGACGGAACGATTATATTAGATCTGCAGTAAGTATAAAAAGATTAAAACTGTAGAGAATTTAATATTATATTTTTTCAGATGCTACGAGGAAATGACACCCGAGACGTAAGTATATATTTTTTTTAAAACACATCTAAAGTAATACTAGCAACAAGTCCTAGCGTAGTGGAGCCAAAGGAGCAAGAGGAGGATAAGGAGGAGGAGGAGGAGGAGCAAGAGGAGGATAAGGAGGATAAGGAAGAGGATAAGGAAGATCTGTTGGAGCTGATAGGCCCTGCAGATCTCTACGAGTTGGACAAAGCGGCTGGATGGTGGTTGTAGGCCTACAGGGGACGCCTCCACCATAAAAAAGGCAACGCACTGTGAGCTTACCTCGGGGTGGTGTGGAAATAGCTCATTCCTCACGGGGAAAATCTGATAGGTAATAGTCCTCTGACGCATTTAAACTACAAGACATCATTACGCCCCACTCATCTCTTATATCACCATCCTCTACCAGCACACAGTCCTCTTCTTCACACAAATAAAAATGTACTACTAAATCCAAATGACCAACTTCATCATAGAACATAATTTGCATCAGGTCCCCCACACTGCACCCCTCAACAGGCAGTTCTACCAAAACGAAGTAAACGCACACTGTAAACGTAATGAAGACTATAGATCCGCTCTGAAAATCCTCGACGTTTGAATATATGATATTAGGCGTGTCGGGATCACCAAAAATTTTGATACAATACTCGCAGGAAGACATCTCGATTGTGTATGAGAGCGAGCATCCGGAAGGAGAAGATAAATCATCCGCGACTACTACGCGTATCACAATCGTCAAAAGGATAACACTTCCGCTAGGTCTAAGTCACATTGCCGTTATCGTTACGTAAAATAAGGATAACCGTCACGTAATTAAGGGTAACCGTCACGTAAAATAAGGATAACCGTCACGTAAAATAAGGATAACCGTCACGTAATTAAGGATAACCGTCACGTAATTAAGGATAACCGTCACGTAATTAAGGGTAACCGTCACGTAAAATAAGGATAACCGTCACGTAAAATAAGGATAACCGTCACGTAATTAAGGATAACCGTCACGTAATTAAGGATAACCGTCACGTAATTAAGGGTAACCGTCACGTAATTAAGGGTAACCGTCACGTAAAATAAGGGTAACCGTCGTGTAATTAAGGGTAACCGTCACGTAATTAAGGGTAACCGTCACGTAAAATAAGGATAACCGTCACGTAATTAAGGATAATAAAAGGATATAATCTACGCATGCATGGTCATTTCTCGTCTGCTATTCAAAGAGTAAACATGTATACGTGTAACATCTGCTCCAAGTGTTTTGCATATAAAAGCGGGCTTAGCCGCCACGCAAACAAGCATAAATCCGCCGCCTCTTTTCCCTGTGACATATGTGGAAAGAAATTTACAAGACAAGATAACTTAATCTCGCACAGGAAAAACAAACACAATAACAGCGAACTAACCGCAGACGACGACACAAACAGTAATGACGAGAACAGTACCTGTAATAGAAAATATATATACAGACCTCTCCAAACACCAAATGATGATGATGAACAAACAGATTGTGACGAAGACGATCCTGACGAACTTGTAAGTGAATTACGCTATTATATCGAAGAGTGCCGTTTAACTAAAGAACATTGGCTCTGTAGTGGCATTATCAACAAGCTACATAATATGGGAATAATTCAGTAACTTACCTCTTCAGAGAGTTGTGCACCTGGTGTAGCGGCGTCTAGAGCTGCGCACGCGCCTGCGCAATCGACGTCTTCAGACATCGGCGGGTGGTCTTTAGTGGCATCGAGCTGAGAAAAAAATAAATATTATCATCACTCAGTGCCTGTAATCATTCTTCATCTAACGTTCAAAGTGTTCAGACGTGCTCAAAATGTCAAGTCTACGAGATGTTTGCTTTGAGCAAATCCAAGACCAACTGGTACGGTTTATATGGAGATTTTAAGATTATTGTCGACAAGGACACCGGTTACTTTAACGCTACAAAGCTATGCCAGGATGGCGGCCAAAGATTTTACAAGTGGTTGGAGAATAAAAGATCGAAAGAACTTATGCGATATTATGCATCGGAAAGTGATTCCCCGAATTCTCCAGCGACGTTCCCCGGCCCTTCCTACACGGTAAAAGGCAATAAGAATCCCGTGTACAATACGATTATTTCTGGCACCTACTTACCCAAAGAGTTGTTCCTGGATATTGCTTGCTGGGTATCTCCGGAATTCTACATGAAATGCAGTAAAATAATTGAAAAATATTTCGTTAACGAATTCAAGATCAACTACCAACACGATAATGAAGCTCTAATGTCCAAGTTGCGTGAATTAAAAACCCGGAATGAAAAGTTGGAAAAGTACGTAGAAGATATAAGTCCAAAGGTCGTTAACCCGAACAAACGACACATGTTTGCTATAATACAGAAAAATCAATCAGCCGAGTACTATCTCATTAGAACACAGAAAAGACGTTTCCCGCAATCCTTGAAGAGGTTGCAGAAGAAGTACCCGAAAGCGCGCGTCGTGGCTGATTTGGAGTATAATCCCAACAGTATCAGCCTTTGTAATCGTATCAAGGACAAGATACCTTATATTACATGCAAATACAACGATTTTAAACTTGTAAACGCGCCCCTTGAAATTTTTGTAAATGACGTTAATAAAATGCTAGAAATAGATTAAACAGCGCTTACCCCCTCCACACACCTACATAATAAGAATACCTTGAGCAAGCGCCTCATTCTTGTCTTGTTCTTGGTAGTGACAAGTTGTGAAAATGAAAACAACGTTCTACTTTAAAGCAAAAGCCTTGAGAGAGATAAGGAAGCTAAATATTCGCGACGATGTATTAATTAATCAATGGTACTTGGATAAACAGCCTTCGTGTTATATACGTTATGAAGACGAAAAACCTGTATCGTTTGCCTTGCTGTCTAAAATGAACTTTGACCCCTTCAACAAGCATTCAAATCCAAAGACGTTGAACTACATTTATAGGCTGGAAGCGCATCGTAGAAAAGGACATGCTACAGCCCTTGTAGACCATGTGAAAGAACGTGAACAGTTTTCGGCGTTTTGCAGTAATGAAACTTCAGAGAATTTATTTAAAAAATGCAAATGTAAAAATTACGGTGAAATGTATTGTAATGTTATGTACAGATACCCTTA